GGCTCCCCTGACCCGCCGCTTCCTCAATCCCCTGGCAGAACTTGACTATAACCTTGGACATTTGAGTGCCCCCAACCCTCTCCATCATACTTACTGTTCATTCACTGTTTGAGCTCTTGTTGTTTTGCCCTCAATTTAATTTTCCGAAAGCGTACATTTCCTGAACATGACTTTTTACATGTGTACATGGGTATCATCGCTCAACTTAAACGACCCAATATAGCAAGCTTTTAAATTATTCTGGAGTTGGGAAGTTCCACCGGGTGCTCTGGTAATGACGCGTTTGCGTTAGGAAGGATGGAGGTCTGTGCTGGAGATTTAACGCAAACACGAGACCGGGGGGTACCCATCTCGTTAAAGCACACCTTCGGTACGGGAAATCTAAGGCTCATCATGACACCAGCCATCTTCCATCCTACCAAGTTTCTGTCTACAGGCTCAATAATTCTACCTAGTGTCCGCAGGTGTACTTACCGATCAGTCGCAGGGTATCACATTAACCTCCGGCGTTGATCGGTCTCAGAGGTTTGCGATCCGGAGGGTGGTTGCTTGGTCGTGACACACAGGGCTAGATACGTCTAAAATGAGAAGCAGACTACGTCAGTGCTCGTGATAATCCCTATTCAAACATCAGAGAAACCACTTTGGCGAGATAGACCTAGGCACTTAGGCCGCTGACAGTAAAAATCGCCTGGCATTTCCCACCCACGTGGTCACGAGACGCCTTCTCTTACTGATAATGCTCAACCAATCAGCCACGTCGGTAGCAGCGAGCCGGTTGTTGGTCCGGCGGCTGGATGCGGGTGTCTACGGTCAGGATCACTGACGCGGCCTTACAAAGGGAATGCGTCTTGGAGTTAGGTGTCACAGCGCTGTCACGATATACATGACTGCGATGCGAGTGACCTTGAACAACTTCGTAACTGCACGCCTTGGAGAGACTCGTGGATTCAACGAAAACCTGACCCGGTATGAATATGGTATGTAGTCGGGTGGGTTTCATGTACAAAACTCGTTACTTTATCTGTTCAAGTATGCATTGTTCAGTTAATTTCTCCCTTGGATTAGGGTTTTCTGTTACTGATCACGACGACATACCATATTATTGCTCCTGACCCTTTATAATAGCGCCTTACCATGATTAATGTTGCCGATAGACCAGACGTTATTTACCTACACCTCTTTATGTCCTGCTCATCCCACTTTTTATTCCCTTCTTTAAAATTTTCCTTTTAATTTCAGATCTTCTATGTCATATTCCTGCTGATCTTCAGCAACATCATGTTACGATCTCTGACCATCACTTGTTCTCCTCAGGAGATGGTAGTCGTCCTCATGGTCCTTTCTCTCCTCGTAGAGGAGCTAAAACAGGTTAGCAAACACCGCTGAAACCCAATTTGCCTCAATAATTTTATAAAATTATCTTGTGCAAATTGACTGCTTTCCTACCTCTCGTCTGCGTGGCATAGCACTAAACACAGGTTAAACTGATGATCATGTATAAGGCAGCTGTTTTCATGCGCTCCTAAACGGTCGAATTCTACGCTTTAACCGCTCGACGTCATAAGATGACTGATGTATAACCATCTCTTAGGCAAACCCTCTCTTCACCCTCCACTGCCTGTTGAGAAGTCTTTACATCTGATCGTCTGTTTTTGCGATCAATTGCCCCTCAAGTTTCTAAGCTGCTGTCAGTCTGGTAGGTTTCGCTAAAATCGGTGAGACTATTACCAACGTACTCTGTGCCGCGTTTATGACAGGCGAGAGTACAACTTATTTCACCTACAGAATGACAAGACAGCATTATTGTAGGTGATTTCAATGCC